ATATAATAATAATTCACATGGGGAATCAAGAATATAGACACCCCTAATATTTCTATGAATAGTCATTTATGGAAATTATGCATTTGCTCGTTTCGTTCGTGTCGTATAGATCTTGCCAAAAAGAAAGAAGGGATAGCCTTAACATACCTGAACCGATTCGCTTAGAATTTGCAATTTACGCTTTACAGAATCAACAACCAACATTATCTAATTTTGGTATGGAATTGTTATGCCCTTTGAAGAACTCACGTTTATGAAGAACTCACGTTCTTAAGACTTAAATGGGCTCTCTGTCCTTAGATGAATATGTGACTAATGACTCATGTTCCTAAGACTTAAAAATGGATCTCTTTCATTAAATGAATAATGTGACTCACGTTATAAGACTTGCCAAATTCTCACATCTCTTAATCTTGCCACATATATTAATGACTTAAGAGTCATACATGGGGATTGGGGGTGCTGCCACGTGGGGGGAGGGTTAGTCTTATCCAACCATTCCTTAATTAAATAGTTAATCTCCCATTAACCAATTATCCACATAATTAAGAATTATCCCAAATTACTTAAAATACTACTTATTTTTAACACACCTTATACACCTTACTATCATGGCCATGTAGTACCTTGTATGGCACTAGTCCATAAATACCGGGTATTATAGCTCGGACCGTATTTTATTTCAAAATGTCACACTTTGACAAAATTCATTTTCTTCGATTTGCTTACCCTCTCACATTCACGAATTTACTCATCACTTGTTTGAAATAGCATAATGCTTATAATCTCAAGATAATCTCATTCCCGAACTTATGTCGATTAACTTACGACGAAATTTTAACGTACGAAATTGCGGGATGTAACATCACATTTTTCGAGCTTCCATCAATTTACTTATAGCGTATTTTCACGTACGAAAACATGAGGTGTAACATTATTCCCCCCTTTGGAACATTATTCCCCCCTTGGAACATTCGTCCTCGAATGTTGACGGATGCATTTATCATTTTCATAGTTTATGTCTTCCGAATACTTTATTACTCCCCTTGTTATTTAGACGACTGTTTTGTGAATAATTCCAAAGGCCAGGGCATTCCCCCCTTTAGGCCTCTTTCTCACACCACAGTCTGTGGTCGGAATTATTCCAATCTCGTTACTCTTGCTACCTTCTGCCATGCAGCCTGTAGGACTTTTTCCTTGCATGTGCTCCTATGCGACTCTTCCCTTCAGCTTTTAGCTAATCTTTAGGCCTCACTTTGGGAACATGTACAGAACTTGATAAGATGTCCCTCTGGGCATCTATAGGTGTATTGAAGTTCTTCGGTCGGTACTTTGTCGTACTTACGAATATTGCCATATCTCATTTCGTACTTTGTAACTTTTATCCATCCATTGTTGATTTACCTCAATGTTGATCTACAATCTACCACTGATATCTTGAAATTTCTTACGTAAAACATTGCCACTAGGGCTTACGTTGCATCGAGGAATATTCGAAGTGATTTTCCTGATCCACTTAGCGGCGATACTGTACTTCAATAACCGTACTTTATAGCATCCCAATGCGACTCACTTACGTGGGTATTTTAATCCTGTACAATTCATGAAATCCCTTCAAATCATCACTCAATCGAAGGTCCAAACGTCATCCTTTATCTATCACAATCACACCCTTATTCTACTATCAGGGCAGCATTTCATCTCTTTTAAATTCTACTAGTCTTAGACTCTTTTGAGTTTTGTTCAGGCTATGCTGAGCTTTTTATAACTTTAAACCATCAGCTTTCTTGTTTACATGGGCTTAATCCTGAGGACTTATCCATTCTCGTCACCTTCTCACTCGCCCTTTCTTATCCTTATTCTTGTCTTCCTAAAACCTTGTCGCTTTATCATACTTTAGCTTGCGACCTACACATATTCGTTTATACTACTCGCAACCTTCCTTCAACTTGCTTGCACCACAGATTTCCTTGCGTTATTCTGGAACATCAAGCGAGACATCGCATCGTCTCTAACTCTTCTTCACTCTCTTAACTAGACTTCTCGATACCTAGAAACCATAGGCCGGAAGGTATGCCACTGAAGACGCTGCTATCATTCCTGAATACTGAATCCCAGCGACTCTAGCCTTCTATCTGAAGTATGGACTATTCACAACCTTCCTTTACCGTACTTACCTTAAAATCTCGCATCACATCTTTTATTCTTTCATAACCTTCCTTCCACATAGGTATAATTCACATCCACAACTTGAAGCTCTATTATAATACTTGCACCTTTGGTGCATACTCAATCCGGTGAGAGCTTCATATTGACTTCTTATGAGGCTGGTACTCTTCTGACTGGCTTTATCGTAGAGCCGTTATGGAATATGGCTATTGTACTATCTCTGTTGTACATCTGATATTTAAGAGTGATCCTGCAATGTTCTCAATCGCGAGGTCTATAATTTTCTGGGTCCAATAATCAGACTCCTGATTTACTTAGTTGATGTAACTCTTTAGTTTCCTCTTCCTTCTGATCAGCCTTCATGTAGGCTTAAGCTATCTTCCGATATGCGGCTCCTGGTATTAGTTATTACTTTAGCCTTTCATGGGCGCTATGGAATATCCATGACACAATCTTCTAACAAATCAATCCTTTGTTTATGCCCTGGGCTCAATTCTTTCTTTTAACTTATACCGGAGTCTTCTACGGCTGTATGATTGTCAACATATATACTGCATGGATAATACTCCGAAACCTTAAGTGCGTTCATAACGTAACTAACTCTGGATCATTGATCGAATGATTCCTTCCGTTCCTTCTCAGCTTCCTTTAAACATAAGCTATTACTTTTCCTGATCTTTCTGCCCCCTTGTTGCGTGCATACTTAGCTTATCTTAGTTCCCATGCATGCCGGAATTCCATACCACTCATATGATCTTGAATATCACTTTTGATTTTACTTCCCATTTATTAGTCACGGTAGGTGCCACTTTCTTATGGAGTACATACAATGTCGTTGTGAGACTGTTGTTATAAGACCATTCCTTCTTTAGGTCATTGAACTTAGGTTGGAGCCTTCTTCCTTATTTTCTTAGCAAATCTTTTGTTGTAGTACTTAGGGATACCTTCTGGCCCTAGTAAAGCTGCGAGCTTATTACATCGTATACCCAATGGAATTCTTGATGTTCGTACTCACCTATAAAATTCCTTAGTTACGTACCTCCACACTTATGTGCTTGTACGGTTGCTCCTGAACTGAAGTTTTGACTGTCTTCCCATAACACTCATACGGTATCTTTAACTATCCCAACTCTTATCTGAATATTTCTCAAGGTCGCGATGCCATATCTGCGAGACTGAATTCCCCATGTTGGGGTTCACTCTGTTTATCTTGCACGATCTATTGATTTATCTGTATCCTCTTTTCTAGCCATAACTAGGCTCTTCCTGAATCAACTACTAACTAATCGTTGGCCCATTCTCATCTCAATATTCCATGTAACCTTTCTTGGATTATTTCCTTTGTCTTAACTTAGGTCTCACACTGGCTCCTTATCTATTAATAACATCTCGGGTAGGAACCCTTACTTCCTCTCCTTGACGTCGTGCTTGCATAATGTTCTGGAATCATAGCATGTCTGTAGGATTTGAATGAGTGCAATCTTATCCCTTTCTCATTTTTTGTCGCATTCTTCCTTTACCATTCCATAGTTACTAGAACCACTTAATTCTGACTTAATGCCACATCACACCATATTCCCCTTTTAGGGGAGTACTAAGAATTGGAGCTACGACGATTTACGTATAGATGTTTTACCTTTTCATCTTTGGCATCTTTTCACATTATCGATGATCCTTACTCTCCTCGCGGTAATCCTTTTGTACCAAGGATAACGAAATTCCTCACTCGCGAGGGTGACACTTAGTGTAACTGGCACATGCAGTCCCTTAAGCTTAACTTTGCTCACCTTGCTTGCTTTAGGGAAGCGTCTTCCTGAATGACCTTTAAAGGGTATTCTTCTGTCCTTCATTCTATTATCGTCGGGACGCAATCTCTGAAATTCTCATGATGCCGACTATTACTCAGTCCCTAGTTCATGTTTAGTTTATCTTGGTTCATCAGTCCATGCTGATTTCTTATTACTCTGGGGTCTAACTTTTCCTTTTGGTAATCACGTTGGAGTCACGAACCTATTTCTCGAAATGAGGATATGACTTTATGGCCTATACTCTTTTGTTGTCTCAAGACCTGTCACCTCTCGTATCCTTCACTTGACTATAGACTCTGTAATACTGTCATCTTTTTGATCTACCGTTGTCATCCATGTATCACATCTTACTCATAATGCTTCATTAACTCTCTTCTTATTTCCCTGCCAACATCTCTGTCTATCACTTTTTTCTGAAAACTCGAACAAGACATTCTTTTGCTTTTTAGCTCCCCTTGCTCCATCTACTGGCTCTTCGGGTTGCCTAACATTCTTTCTCTACTAGGGACGGG